GCGACTCTCCATTCAGTTGTCGAGTCTCCACTCACCCAGGCTTCCTGCCCTTCAGGATGATGTCCGTATTGTTTTTCTGAGGTATTAATCAATTGTTGTGAGCGGCATCAACTTCCCGGTGTTTATCTCTGCCGCCATCTTAGTTTCTCCCTTGTTTGTTCTTTTGTGTGTTTTTCCCCCCAGGAGAAGTATTATTTGTTTGTTTTTAGGAGAAGTATAGTTTAAATGACCATAAGCATGGCCTTAGATCCTAGAATCAGAGTTTGAGTCTCTATTTGACACTTACTGTTTTAAGAAAGTTACTTGTTTTTCTATGTTTCTTCTTTTGTAAATCATAATAACCAGTGTGGATGTTTCTTCAGCAACCATTCCACTCCTGCCCACTGTGTTTAGGGATTCTTCCAAATTTCAGGGATAGATCCTATCAGTCTTAGTCAGATTTTAACATTACATTCCTTTTGCTAGGTTTTGGTTCAGGAACCTAGGCCTAAGTTAATCTGCACATGGCATTCTGTTAATTGAGAGAAAGTATTACCTGGAAACAACCCACAAATGTGTGACAATGTAGTACAGTGGTTCTCAACCTTCTGGCCCTTAAAATGTGACCCAACCATAAAATTATTTTCGTTGCTACTTCATAACTGTAATGTTGCTACTGTTATGAATCGTAACGTAAATATCTGATATGCAGGATGGTTTTAGGTGACCCCTGTGGAAGGGTCGTTCGACTGCCAAAGGGGTCTCGACCCACAGGTTGAGAACTGCTGGTGTAGAAGAAGCTGGGATTAAGGACTGAGGTGAGGAGGGATGAGGGTTGATTAAGGTTTTGTTGGGCTGATCTGGGAAGGTTTCATGGAGACTTCTTTTTTTTTTTTTAAATATATTTTATTGAGTTTTTACAGAGAGGAAGGGAGAGACATAGAGAGTTAGAAACATCGATGGGAGAGAAACATCGATTAGCTGCCTCCTGCACATCTCCTACTGGGGATGTGCCGGCAACCCAGGCACATGCCCTTGACCGGAATCGAACTCGGGACCTTACAGTCCGCAGGCCGACGCTCTATCCACTGAGCCAAACCGGTTTCGGCCATGGAGACTTCTTGAACTGTCCTGTAGGAATTTGCCTCTCCAGATTTGTACTTCATTTGAGGTATCTTAATTCCTGTCTATGTTCATTTAAAAAATGTTTACTGTTCTTATTAAGAAACTAGAGGCCCAGTGCACGAAATTCATGCAAGAGTAGGCCTCCTTTCCCTGGCTGCAGGCATTGGCTTCCCTCTGGCACCCAGGACCCAGGCTTCCCTTGCAGCCCTGGCTTCGTCTGGAAGGTCGTCTGGAAGGATGTCTGGTTTAATTAGCACATTATGCTTTTATTATTATAGATATTGTAAGTATATTAAGAAGTTCAGAAAAGGACTGTTCTCTATTAATTATTTTTAAGGTAGAGGCAGAGCGACGGGCCAGTGAGGAAGAAGAAAACAAAGCCAGTGAAGAGTACATACAGAAATTATTGGCAGAGGAGGAGGAAGAAGAAAAGAGACAGGCAGAAAAAAGGAGAAGAGAGATGGAAGAACAGCTAAAAAGTGATGAAGAACTGGCAAGAAAGCTAAGCATTAATATTGTAAGTTTTCGGAGAAAATTTTGAAGTATTAACATTCTTATTGCTTTGACTATGTAATTTTCAAAAATGTTCACCATAACTATAAGCTATTTCTGACATTTGTTCTACTGAAAACTTCTTTCAATTTTCAAATGTTGTTACATTTGTTCTAATTCAAGTGTACTTTAAAAAATGTTTATGTTATTAGTGTAAAAAATGTTTATATTATTAGTAAATTCAAATTATGCAGGAAAGCTATTCAGTGAAAAATGAGAGCTTCCTTTCCCACCTCTTCATTCCCATTCTGTTCCATTACATCAGTTCCTTTCCCCAAAGTTTAGCACTGTTAACCATTTCTTATAACTATTTTTCTTATTTGCCTAAAAAGGATTTATCAATTATACTACTTTTTTCTTGCCTTTTTTCACTTGATATATCTTAGGGATTTTGTGTGTGTGTATTACTCCATACAGTCTAATTCTTTTAAAGAATGGTATACTATTCCATTGTATTGATATAGATCATTTTTAGAAAGTGAAACACATTAAATTCTTAATATATTAAAGCTGAATTTTATTATCTTGCTGTAGTTAAATTACTGCATAGGGGAAATGAATGAAAGAAAGGGTAAAAACGCATACTTTAAGACTAAAAAATACAGTAGGACCCATTGATTTGAAAGAACCTGGCAGAATTACCCTGGGATTTTTAGAAAATGTAAACTGTTCTCTATCTACTGAATCAGACTCTCTGGAGATGGGACTTAGGGCATACCATTCCCAGAGGCATCTAGGGAAGTCTGAGGTGTATTTAAGTTTGAGAGCCTATAAAAACAATTCCTCTGCTTTCAAACAACAAATATGTTAAAGTACACTTACTAAAATGAACTATATCCAGAATTTGGATTTTTTTTTCATTTTTAGAGGCCTACCATTAATAATAATATATTCAAGTTTTAGATTATATGCCCTTTTTAATATACTTCCTTTTTAAAATTTAAGTAAAATAGCTTTATAAAGGCATACAATAAGAAGTAAAGACATTGACCAATAGAATAACAAATAGGATAAGAAAGAGAACACAGGGGTGGGTAAAGTAGGTTTACATAACACAAATAAATAATACAATAGTTAATAAATGATACAGCCCTCGTCACATAGCTGTTTTGCATGCTCACAGCTGTAAACATACTTTTGCCCTCCCAATAATTCAAAGAGGAGAATCTTTAGCTGTCTTTTAAGAGTCTGTTATTCTAATCCTTGTTTTCACATGAGATTATAGAGTAGATTTATTGATATTTTAGAATAATTTTTGGCCTGCTTGTGAAAGTTGTTGGGTGGTCCAAGGCCAAATGTCTGTCACTGCCAGTTATATTCATTTTTCCAATAATGTGGTAAGAAACAAGACTACAGCAAATAAAAATTCATGGTATTTATTGGTATGCCCGTAAGTCCCCAAGTTAAATTACTTTTACATAAAACTAACTTTTATTCCAGGTATATCTATACCTCTTTGAATTTACTCATATAGATAAAGGTAGTTATGTAAACTACTCATTAGAAATATTAACAAATTATCAGCTAATAAGATTAGTATCATTATTCCTTTTGTGCTCTTTCGAGTAAAAATACAATTAATTTAGACCAACTTGGATGAACTTAATCTTTTTTGCTTTGTTTTTGGACTTAATCTTGTTTATACTAATTTTTACATAATGTTATTCAAAGGGTGTGTAGAATTTAAATGTAAGCCCAATTCCTGAAAAATTCTATTGTGAATTCTGAGTTAGTTGAATTAATAGCTTATTTTATTATAAATTTATTTTAATGTCTTTTATGCTTTTTCTGTTGTTAAAGAACAACTTCTGTGAGAAAAAAGTCTTGGCTTCTCCCATGAATTCCAGAAAATCTGATCCAGTCACAAGCAAGTTGCAAAAGAAAAGTAAAAATAAACAAACAAATACTGGAGATATTCAGAAGTAAGTGAACATGGCTGTTTATCAGTTATTGACCACCTACTGTATGCCAGTGTTTTTTGTTCATATAGTTCACTAATTGTCAAAATTTGGTCTATGTACTCTGCATGAAAAACCTCCAGATGGTCTGAGATTGATATAAAATGAAAATAGAGAGCTACTCACATAGCTTAGATTCCTGGCTAGCATGAAGAGAGATATGAATTCTTTTTTAATCTTGATTGCTCAGGGTTTCCATGATGTTCCCATTTTCTCACAACTAACTGTTGGGCCTGGCCGATTTGGCATTGTGGTTAAGCATATTGGCCTTTGGACAGAAGGGTCGGGGTTCAATTCCCAGTCAAGGGTTGAAGGCCCAAGCCCAGCCTTGCAGGAGGCAGCCCATTGGTGCGTCTCTCACGTTGGTGTTTCTCTCTCTCTCTTTCTCCATCCCCTCTCCCTTTCACTTTCTGAAAATCAATGAAAAAAATATCCTTGGGAGAGGATTAACCAAAAAAAGTTTAAAAGACTAACCAGTTGGATTTTGTTTTCCCCTTGGTTTAGGTCATCCTCATTGAAGGAGTTTATAATTTGGCATCTAGATCATTCACCCACTTTTTCCCAGTTTATGCATTATATTTCTTCTCTACTATAAAAAGGTATGAGTCATGTAGTCAACAGTGGAGCAATGATTTAGCTTCCTCACAACACCCCTCCAGCACCAGGTAGAATTTATGACTATGAGATATAAGCTTTCCCATCATAATTCATAGTTGGAAAAGTTTAAGAAACACAACCTAGACTTCAAAAAGTCTGGATTGGTTCAGATGAGACAATATGTTGCAGAATCCTTGTGGAATTCTTAGAAATTTTGGATTTGGGGTGTGGACAATTAGATTTAGGGTGGAGGCAGAGTTAAATGGAGTGCCTGCTTTTAAAGGAAAAAATAGCTCAGCCAGTATGGCTCAGTGGTTGAGCGTTGACCTATGAACCAAGAAGGTAAAAGTTCCATTCTTGATCAGGGCACATGCGCAGGTTTCAGATCAATCCCCAATGGGACGCGTGCAGGAGGCAGCCAGTTAATGATTCTCCCTCATCATTAATGTTTCTCTCACCCTCTCCCAACCTTTCTGAAATCAATAGAAATATATTTTAAAAATAAATATGGCAGTATCAATATTTTTAATACTGATATTATGCAAAGTAGGAATCAAAAGAAAAACCATTAAAAGGAGAAAAGCAGAGGGATTGCATAATTACACAATATTCTGCTTATAACTTATGAATCTTTATGCATCTAAATATATATTTTGAAATACACAAAAATAAAAAATCATTAGAAAAAAAGATGGACCTAATAAACTGATAAATTTTAATAAACTGGTGAATTTAAAAGTAGGAATTGAGAAGCTTGTGGATTAAAAGTTCAAATAAAGCCCTAGCAGGTTTGGATCAGTGGATAGAGTGTCGGCCTACAGACTGAAGGGTCCCAGGTTCAATTCCGGCCAAGGGCACATGCCTGTGTTGCAGGCTCCATCCCATCCCCAGAAGGGGGCATGCAGGAGGCAGCCGATCCATGATTCTCTCATCATTGATGTTTCTATCTCTCGCTCCCTTTCCCTTCCTCTCTCAAATCAATAAGAAGTACATTAAAAAAAGAATAATAAAAAAAAGTTAAAATAAAGTTAAAAACAGATAAGGTCTAATCTCTAGAATATATAAAGAATTCTTAATATAACTCAACAATAAGACAATAAGTGGACTTGAATAGATATTTCTTTAAAAATGCACAAATAGCCAGTAAGCACATAAAAAGATGCTCAATATCATTAGTCATTAGGGAAATGCAAAAACTACAATGAGATACCATTTCACACCCACCAGGATATCTATAATCCAAAAAAAGGAGGAAATAACAAATGTTGACAAAAATGTAGAAAAATTAGAATCTTATGCATTGGTGGTGAGAATATAAAGTGGTGCAGCCACTGTGGAAAACAGTTTGCCAACTCCTTAGAAAGTTTAACAGACTTACCATGAGACTCAACATTCAACTCCTAGATATTTACCCAAAAGAATTAGAAATGGGTCTTTAACAAATACTGTACACAAATGTTTGTGTCAGCACTTCAAATAGCCAAAAAGTGGAAACAGCCCAAATGTTCATTGAGGGCTGAATGGATAAACAAAATGTATATCCATAGAATGGAATATTATTCAACTGTAAAAAAGGAATGGCAGCCTGGCCAATTTGGCTCAGTGGTTGAGTATTGACCTTTGAACCAGAAGGTCATGGTTCAATTCCTGGTCAGGGCACATGCCTGGATTGCGGGCTCAGTGCCGTGTGGTGCATGTAGGAGACAGCCAATCAGTTATTCTTTCTCACCATTGATGTTTCTGTCTCTCTCTCTCCCTCTCCCTCTCCCTCTCTGAAGTCAATGAAGAAATATACTAAAAATAAAACAAACACTGCTGCAGTTAAATATTTTACTCGTTGTTCTTCCTGTGTGATCTACAATAATAATCTGCGTCATGTTGATATTTACTGCTGTGTGGGGATGTGCCCGCAACCCAGGTACATGCCCTTGACCGGAATCAAACCCGGGACCTTTCAGTCCGCAGGCCGACGCTCTATCCACCGAGCCAAACCGGTTTCGGCAAAAATATATATATTTTTAAAAAGGGAATGACATACCGATATAGTCTATAATTGGATTAACTTCAGAAACATGCTGAGTGAAAGAAGCTAGAAAGTAAGCTTTCTGGCAACATTAAGTGTTCTAGAGGATAAGGAGCACTTACCGTGCTTCGGGGGGTTTAAGAGGTTGATGCTCTGTAACTGGAGGATAGACACTAAAGAAACCCCGGGAGACAAGTCCAGGAATGTGCCCACCAGTACTATTCATAACAGTAAAGAGCCAGAGCACCCATATGCCAACAGTAGAACAGAGCTTTACCCAACAGTGAAAATGAATTTTATCTGAGGAAAACATGCATGATTCAGGAAAATGTTGGGTGAAAAAACAAGTTGTGGAAGAATACATGGAGTATGATTCTATATACATAAGGTTCAAATTATGCAGTACTAAAGCAATAGGTGTTTAGGGATACAGGTGTGTGGTAAAACTATAAGCAAGAGATAAATAACTCGTGCCCTAGCCAGTTTGACTCAGCGGACAGAGCATTAGCCTGCAGACTGAAGGGTCCTGGGTTCAATTTCAGTCAAGGGCACATGCCCGATTTGCAGGCTCAATTTCTAGTAGGGGGCTTGCAGGAGGCAGCCGATCAATGATTCTCTCTTATCATTGACGTTTCTATCTCCATTTCCCTCTCCCTTCCTCTCTGAAATCAATAAAAATATATTTTTTTAAAGAGAGAGATAAATAACTCAGAATAATCATCTCTGAAGTGGGAGATAAAGAGGAGGCCTCCATAGGGATTTTAAAGTCGATGATTGTTAGTATAAGGGTTCTTGTGATCATGTAAATTTTTTAGTATATTTTTATTGAATTCAGAGAGGAAGGGAGAGGGAGAGAGAGATAGAAACATCCATGATGAGAATCATTGATCAACTGCCTCCTGCACGCAACCTGGACATATTCCCTGACTGGGAATCAAACCGTGACCTCCTGGTTCATAGGTCGACACTCAACCACCAAGCCACACTTGCCGGGCTCCATATGAACAACTGTAAACATACTTTTTCCATATGAACAACTGTAAACATACTTTTGCCCATCCCCGTATTGTGAATCTTACATAATTTTGTAACTATTCTCTCCTAAACTATTTGTTCTCATGAGGTGGGCTCTCTCAGAAAGATCTTTATGACACAGTGAAAAAAGAAAATCTCAGCCCTGGCCAGGTGGTTCGGTTGGTTGGAGCGTCATCCCATACACCAAACGATTGGGGTTCGATTCCTGGTCAGGGTCAGGGCATACACCTAGGTTTCGGGTTCTATCCCTGGTCAGGGCGAGTATGGGAGGCAACCAATCGATGTTTCTTATGTCAGTGTTTCTCTCTCTCTCCCTCTCTCCCCCGCCCTTCTTCTCTAAAAAAGCAATAAAAAGATATCCTTGGGTGAGGATTTTTTTTTTAAAAAAGAAAAATCTCAGATAATTAGGATTTCTTTAAAAAAAGAGATAGTGCAAAAAAAAAGAAAAGAGAGAGAGAGATAGTGCCCTAACCGGTTTGGCTCAATGGACAGAGCATGGGGCTGCAGACTCAAGGGCCCCAGGTTCGATTCTGGTCAAGGGCATATACCTTGGTTGCAGGCACATACCCAGCAGGGAATGTGCAGGCGACAGCTGATTGATGTTTCTCTCTCATCAATGTTTCTAACTATTCCTCTCCCTCTCTGTAAGAAATCAATAAAATATATTTAAAAAAAATAAATAAGAGATAGTGTGTACTATATAGAAATAAACATTTTTTAAAAAGTGGTTCTAGCCTTTTGCCCATGTGGCTCTGTGGGTAGAGCGTTGGTCCTTGCACTGAAGGGTTGCAAGTTCAATTTCCGGTCAAGGGCATGTACCTGGGTTTCATGTGGGAGGCAACCAATCAATGTGTCTCTCACATTGTTGTTTTTCTCTCTCCCCCACCCTCCCCTTCCCTTCCACTCTCGAAAACTCAGTGGGAAGGAAACTATCCTCAGGTGAGGATTAACAACAAAAAAACCAATTAACAAAAAAATTGGTTACATATGAGGAAGCAAATAGGCATGGAAAGGGATGATGACCTATATTTCCTACATTTCCGTTTAGTTTTATGGTTATTATAAGAAGATCCAGGGCAGTTCCTAAATCTTCACTGATCAAGTTGGATAAGTATCTGATCACATCTTCTTTTGTTCTTTGCTTATGGATTTCAAAACAACTATTATGCTGTAATAATTCTTACTTGGAACTAATAGACTTGATGACTAATGTCCAACTTTGGCAGAAGGGATTCTTCAGCTTTGAGAAACAATTAAAATGCAACTAAATCTGGACTCCTGTTTTTCTCTTATCAACTGAAAAGGTGATTCTTGTTCTCATAAGTGTGTAGAGTATTTAGGTTGATATAACTAAATATGTGGGTTAGGCACTCTAGTTTATTTATAAGGGATATTTATTTATTCTTTATATGAGATTTTTGTCTAGGTTTTATTTTATTCTATATACTACTTGGTGCTTTGGACGCAATGGAACTCTGGTTGTACATATTATTTGCAATCAGACCTTTTTTTCCCATTGTTTTATTTAATTATTAAAAATTAAAGCTAGCTGCTCTTTGAAAATCACCCAAAGTTACCACCACGTAAAGACATCCAACATTTTGGGAGATTTCTGCCATGTTTAAGCATAGTTGTATATGTGTTTGGACTTTTACCATTTTTAAATATATCTACCAGCTCATTACATGTCCATTTATTCCCATTTCTTTGACAGCATTTTCCATTATATTATTAACTTTGTATTTTTAGTGATAAACAGCCTATTAAAGATGCTTAGAAATTTTGAGATATAATCTGCTGATACGTTGTTATGTCTGTTTGTTCCTAAGTAGAATGTGTATGTAACAAAAATGTATACCAACATGGTAAAGAAGCTAATCATGGACTTTTCCATGATAAAAATAAAATACAGATTTTCTGACATTAAAAGCAAAAAAACAGTAACTAAACATATCCTTTCTTCAGATTTCAAATGTTATTTCCAGTACTTTTGGTAAGAGTATACAGTCTTGGTTGTTTGATGCTATCTACCTTTTAAAATTTTTTTGAGAGTTAAGAAATTTTAGATTTTACATGCTTTTCTACTCTTTTTCCCTAAGATATCAATACTCAACTTTTTAAGTTATGCTCTGGAGTTAGACTAAAATATCTGAGACAAGGGGATAGATTCCGCTCTTTCTGATAAATCATTCAGGCAACCAGACAACCTTCAGCATAAATAGCTAGTGGCTTGATTATGTTGGATACATACCACTTCTCTTTCAAAGCATTCAAACTTTGGTAAACTTTTTTTTAAAGGTATTTGTCACCTAAATCTCAATTTGGGTCAGCATCACAGTCTGAAGTTGTACAAGAAGGCAAACAAAAGTCCATGTCTAAGGTATGTGGATGCTAAAGATGTTCTTAGTTTGGCATGTTTACTAATGCTATAGATTGCAAATACTTGTAGGTTCCTAACTTTTTTTTTCTTAAGTCACCATAATACATGGGACACCATTTCTTAGTCATTTTACACTGACCTAGACTGGGAGTCAGTAAGCAAACATTTTTCTGTAAAGGGCCATATAGTAAATATTTTAGGGTTTTGGCCCTTATAGTCTCAGTCACAACAATTCAATTATGCTGTTGTCACGTAAGCAAATGAGCTTGTCTTTGTTCCAATCAAACTATTTGCAAAAACAGCAGGCTGAATCTGGCTCATGGGCCAGTTTGGGGATCCCAGGCAATCAAACTCACAAAACTGAATAGGCTATCCTTGGTACCAACTTACTTTAAAGATTACAGGATAGGAAACAAATCATGCTAGTAGGGCACCATCAGGCATATAATTCAGTAAGAGTCCTCATTGCAGAGCTCTTAAGCGATGGCCTGGAAATGATACCACACAGATGACTGTGGTAACCATTTTGGCTTAGAAGCCTCATGACCCTTGAAAGTCATTTATTGTAACAACCTATGGGTGTAACTTCCAGGAGCCCCCATCAGAAACACACCCAAAGGAGTTATAAGTCACTTACAGAAGCTCCATGCTTTGACTTCCTGGTGTTGTAGATCACTTATAGTTTTAGTTCAAATACAGTTCAGCAATAAGGGCCATTTTACTATAAGCTATGTGGCCTAATAACACAGGTGACATTCCACCTTTATCAGGTTTCTAGGTAAGTAGAACTAGGAAAAATGAGCTGACACCCAGGTCTCTTTCCTACATAAAAGGTTTGTTAACCCTTTACTCACAGGTTCCTTTTCTTTATTTTTTTCAATTCAGGTAGGTGGTTTTTATGAACATTTACTGTGCCAGATAATGTATGTGTTTTCTTTAAATCTTCATCACAACCTCCAACTCTGAAATGTGGGTATCATTCTTGTGCCCATCTTACAGCTGGGAAAACTGAGGCACACAGAGAAAAGAGACTTGCCCAAAGTCCCTTAAAGTAGAGGTAATGGAGGAGTTAAGTCCAGGTAGTCTGGTTGGTACCTGCATTGAGGAATGATGGCAGAG